AGATGTTATTCAAATCATATAGAGGAGAAGAAAAGGTGAAGACAGTAAGGTTACAAACCTTGAGATGTGAGTTTGGCAGCCGTAAAATGAAGGAAACTGAGACTGCAGAGGAATATTCCACTAGAGGGATTGTCCTATTGAATCAAATGAGACTAAATGGAGAAAGCATAAATGATAGAAGGGTGGTTCAGAAAATCCTACGCAGCCTCACCAGAAAATTTGAATATGTAGTGGTAGCTATAGAGGAGTCTGAAGATTTATCAAATTTCTCCTTGGAAGCCCTCTTAGGCACATTACAATCTCATGAATTACGCATGAAGCAGTTCGATACAYCCATGATGGAACATGCTTTTCAAACTCAGTCTTCTTGGGAGTCAAGTACAAYTGAAAGACAGAAGAGCATTGATATAGGCAAAGAAGAACAAAGTTCAGGAAACTTCAAAGGCAAAGGCAGAGGTAAGCCTTACTCCCAAATTAAGTGCTTTTATTGTGAGAAATTGGGTCACACAATAAAATTTTGTAGAAAAAGAATAGCTGAAGAGGGTAAAACCTCTAGTTTCATTCACAAAGACGACAACCACAATGATGAGTCCATGTTTATGGTGCTTAGTGTTCAAGAAAAAAACTATGAGTGATCTTTGGTATCTTGATAGTGGGTGTAGTAATYAKATGACAGGTAACAAAGACCTGYTTATAAGCTTAGAAGAATCAAAAAAGAAAGATGTAAGGACTGGTGATGATAAAAAACTTAGTGGATGTGGAAATGGAGAGATCTCAATCAAAATCAGAGATAAGAACAAAAGGATTTCTGATGTGTTCTATGTCCCTGGACTTAAACATAACTTATCRAGTGTAGGACAACTTATGCTTAAAGGATATAGACTATTCTTCAAAAATGGTGGTTGTGAAATTACAGAATCCAACAATTCATTAATTGGTAGAGTCACTATGACTAGTAATAAGATGTTCCCTGTTAAGTTTGATGATGGAACTTTCTGTCTTTAACCATGACTATTAAAGATACTTCACTTTYGTGGCATAAAAGGTTTGGCCATGTAAATCTTAACACCCTCTTTCTCATGCATAAACATGAATTGGTGAAGGGATTACCCCCTGTCACTTCCTTAGATCAAGTCTGTGAAGACTGTACCCTTGGAAAACAAGCTAGGGAAGCATTTCCTCATGACAAGACYTGGAGTGCCTCATAACAGTTAAGAGTTAGTACACACTAACATTTGTGGACCTATGAGAMCTCCATCATTTGGAGGTAGTAGGWATTTTCTGACCTTCAGAGATGATTATAGTAGARGAGTGTGGATCTATTTCCTTACAGAAAAGTCTGAGACTTTTTACTGTTTTGTCACTTTCAAGGCCATGGTAGAAAAACAAAGTGAGTGTAAAATCAAGAATTTAAGAACTGATCGTGGGGGTGAATACCTAGGRCATGAATTTGAAGAATATTTGAGGAATAATGGAATTCATCACCAATTGACTGCAAGTTACACACCCCAACAGAATGGGGTGGCAGAGAGGAAAAACAGAACACTAGTAGAAATGGGTAGATGTATGCTTAAAAGTAAGAACCTTCCTGACATTTTTTGGGCAGAAGCAATTGCATGTGCTGCTTATTTAATCAATAGATCACTCACAAAGACTCTCGAATAAAACACCTCAAGAGGCCTGGAATGGTTTTCAAACCAAATGTGAACCATCTTAGAACATTTAGATGTGTTGCCTATGCTCGCATACCAAAACAGATGAGAGGAAAGTTGGATGAGAAATCTGAAAAAACTGTGTTTGTAGGCTATAGTTATAACACTAAAGCCTTATAAACTTTACAACCCTTTGACTAAAAAGGTGATCCTGGATAAAGCTGATGTTATATTTGATGAGGATAAAGCTTGGACTGGCCTSACATATGATGATAGGGGAGGTTGCATCCTGGATGAAAGTCATCATGATCAAAGTAATCCTGATGTATCTTCTGATCAAATTGACCCCACCTCTCCTAGACGAATGCCTTCAACCACCTCTCCTATCCAAACACCATCTAACACTGATGGTGCCTACTCTGAAGATTCATCTTCATCTAATGGTCCTAACAGAAAAACTAGGAGTTTAAGAGATATCTATGACAATAGACAACCCATTAATATTAGTGATCTTGCAGATTTTGCCTTATTTGCTGATGCAAATCCTATACACTTTGAGGAAGCTTGTCTAGATAAGAAATGGAGGGATGCCATGGATTGCGAAATGAAGTCTATTGAAAAGAACAATACTTGGGAGTTGGTAGATCTGCCTAAAAGACAAAAATCCATAGGAGTAAGATGGATTTACAAAACAAAGTTTAATGAGAAAGGAGAAGTGGATAAGCATAAAGCCAGATTASTTGTAAAAGGTTATAAACAAYAATAATGGAATCAACTATCAAGAGGTATTTGCTCCTGTCATCAGATTACAAACCATATGYTTGATTCTGGCCATGCTGCTCAACACAACTGGTATGTACATCAAATGGATGTCAAATCTGCCTTCTTAAATGGCTACCTAGAGGAGAATATATACATTGATCAACCATGTGGGTACAAACGGAAAGGTGAAGAACACAAGGTATGTCATCTTAAAAAAGCTCTTTATGGTTTGAAACAGGCCCAAGGGCCCAGTATAGTAGGATTGAAGGTCATTTCTTTGAGCATGGTTTCAAGAAATGCAACTATGAACACACCCTTTTCATAAAGAGAACTGATAATGCCTTACTTTTGGTCTGCATATATGTGATGACCTGGTTTTTACAGGAAATTCCATTGAAATGATAAGTGAGTCCAAAGACTCTATGAAGAAGAATTTTGAAATGACAGATTTGGGACTATTACACTACTTTCTGGGGATTGAAGCATCTCAAGGAGATCATTGCATCTCTATATCTCAGAAGAAATATGCTAAAGATTTATTGATGAGGTTTAATATGGAAGACTGCATTTCTGCTACTACCCCAATGGAATTTGGATTGAAACTTACAAAAGGAAAGGATGGAGTGGTTGTGGACTCTACTCTATATCGTAGCCTTATGTATCTCACTGCAACAAGGCCTGATATTATGTTTTCTGTTAGTCTAATCAGTAGGTATATGGAAAAGCCTAAGAAAGAGCATTGGGAGGCTGCCAAACGTATTCTAAGGTATGTAAAAGGAACCTTGAACCATGGCATTACCTATTCTCACTCACATTCGTTTAAATTGATTGGCTTCAGTTATAGTGACTATGGGGGAAGTATCATGGATAGTAGAAGCACAACAGGATATGCCTTTAGTTTAGGTTCTGGGGTAGTTTCATGGCAGTCTAAGAAACAGAAGGTTGTGGCTYTATCTTCTACAGAAGCCGAATATATGGCTTTGTCGTCTACAGGTTGTCAAGCTCTATGGCTTAGAGCGATATTAGGTGAATTGGGTATTCCTCAAGATTYAAGTACARAAATYTATTGCGATAACAAATCTGCAATTGCCTTGACCAGAAACCATGTGTATCATGGTAAAAGCAAACATATAAGAATCAAATTCCATTTCATTAGGGAACTCATTCAAAGCAATGAAGTCGATGTTCTGTTTTGAAATTCAAAGGAACAAGTTGCTGACATATTCACAAAATCCCTTCAACGTGGAAGCTTTGAGAAATTAAAAAAGGATTTGGGTGTTCGTGATGTTTAGCTTATGGGGGAATGTTGAAATATAAGCTAAAACATCTCAGTTAAGTGTTGGTTAACGGATTCTTCAAGTGACCGTTATTGGGGGTTATTGATCGTTAAGGTCGTTATGTCCTTCCCGCCAAAACTGCTCTGTGAAGCATTGCGTCTCTTTGAAGCAGTGCACCTTTTCTGACGAGTCTCATCTGTTGGATTATGTTCTATTTATATTTGTTTCAATCTTTGTTTCATTAGGTTTTTCGGTTGTACAATTGATATGTATATATACAAGTGATAATTGTGTGATTTGTTGTCTCTTGTATTCTTGTTTATCCAATAATGCAAGTCTTGGCCCTTCTATTGTACACTTGCATTTGCCTTTTGCGGRAATACAAAATATAGCATAGCCTACGTTGTTAGTGACTACTTCAGTGTAACCATGCCATGAAAAAACAAAATGAATCTTGTGAATAAAAACCAATATCTTTAACATTCTGTAACAATTACAAAGAGAAAATAGATAAATTCAGCTTATTATTTGAATAAGAATAAGAACTATTAGTGGTTATACTTGAATTCAGGTATATGTAAAACATGAGAGATATTTTCTTAATCAAATAGAAACCCCTGTAAAGATAAATGGATTGCCAACTATGTATAACAAARACAKATTAGAATGATTGCCACAAAGACAAATTTAGGATGGTATGGGAATAATTCTCTCGCAATAACTTATAGCACACTTACGTAGCATGAAGAGGAATATTCATCAAACTAACTTTAGTAGTAACCCGAGTCTATGAAGTCTGGGGAGCTCTRCCAAACCCAACAGTTAGTCACAAAAATTATCCAAGTCTAGATCACCTGATTGGTTATTTTCTTCACGTTTTGTGCCAGGCTGATGAAAGGTCATATAGGTGGCTTGGGTGAATGTAGATAATGGAACAAATTCTACTGATCAAACATGAATCCAAGATGACTAGGCACCAGATCACTATGTTAGAGCATGTAGACAACTAAACAAGGGCTTGGAATTTGAATGCAAATCCCCTTTGGCCAAGACATACTTAGAGGCTCAGAAAAAGTATGACTAAAAAAAACTATAATTGTTGGTGATTCATGATTAGCAGACACATATCCAAATCCAAGTTGAAAACAAAAAAGATAAGGTGATAATAGCAATTTTTCACTTTTCTTTTCTTATCCCTGGTTGGCTAGTCAATCCAATAATAGAGCTAGTTAATTAATGGAGCACCTTTCAAGCAAAAAGAAGTACGACCAAGATTTGAAATGCAAAACTCACAACAGACATTGATTACCTCCCATCTGGATTGTTGGGAGAAGTTAAAAAAATGATCTTCGGTTTCTCATGCTCAATGACTTCCGCAATCCTTWGTACATCCAAGCTAAAGTCTACCTTCCGAGGTACTGCTCAACCAATGAGATAGCAATAGTTAATTGAGTAGAGAATTGACATTATATCCATATAATGAATTAAAAAGATACAACATACACTCCCACAAATCATAATATTTAGACCAAATATGGCACAATGAGACARTAAAAATAAAAATATATATATGGAAGAGATTGGGGTGGTAAAGGAAGGTAGGATGAAAGCATATTGTTGTATAAGTTAAAGTACATGCAAGAGGTGTCAAAAAGAAGATGGCCATGTACATGTTAGAGTTATCAAATAATAGATAAATACATCACAATATCAATGTTAAAACCTTAAACAAGAAGAAACACATTTTTGAACCAACAAATATGGATGAGATACACGAAGAACAGAGAACTAAATCCTRCCCTTTATAACACGTGCACAATTGACAGCTGCATCAAATTCATACATTGTAAAGGTCGGAGGACAATCAACAATACTGTCGCCTGGATCTAGAACACACCTGTGAGATAAAGAAATCAAACCCATAAGAAAATAAAGTGTGCAGATAAATAAGAAGATTCAGATTTTGGCATAATAAATCAGAACACTAATAAAATTCTGCAACTCTAAACTATATGGAAATTAGGCATAAGAAGTTGTATGACTAACCGCATAATGAGATCAATCAGCTCATCAGCCCCACATCCTACAAGAATATAGTCAGATTCAACGCCAGAATCCTTAGCAAGGGCAGTACGCAATCTACGACTTTCAGGGTCAGGATAAATATAAGGAAACTTCAATGCCCCTAATGCCTCAAACACCTACAAGATTTAAATCAATATCCCAAGGAATGTAGAATTTATATACTTGGTGTTGCATTAAAAAAGGATAATTGTACTTGAAACCTTATCTAAGATGGATTCCGCCAACATTTATTACTTACAAATACTTCAATCATACTCCGGAAGTTGTTCGAGATGTAAGGAAAAAGCTTCTATTTCTTTCGAATACAATGTACATGTTTATATACAAGCAAATCTGTCAGGGCTCCWATAAATCAGCCCCTAAAGGATGATATAGATTCTATCTAATAAAGAGAGAATCAACAATTATGTAATTGATCCCAAAGAAAGTAAGCATCAGCTTACACAGATTATGATAAGCGATATTTATTTTCTAAACCAATTAAGGTACTTAGTTGAGTGTTGGGCCAAAACAGAGTCTTAGTCAGCATATCAACAGCTTGTCGCTTGGATGAACATGAGTGGGTAAGATTGCCTTGTTTTTGATCTTCTCATAGATGAAGTCTCTATCAATCTCCACATGCTTGGTACGATCTTCCTTGACTGGATTTTTGACAAATGCAATTGTTGACCGGTTGTCGCACACGATCGTGATGAAGTCCGAGGTTCCAGCCTTAAATTCTTTTAGTATTCGTTGTAACCAAATTCCTTCACAGATGTGTAAGGCTAAAGTTCGGAACTCTGCCTCAGCAGTGCTTCGTGCTACCACTGATTGTTTCTTGCAGCGCAATGCCTTGACCGCTCCTGACCACTTCCATTACTAGAAAATATTTTAGAAAGTCCACGTCTTTTAATCTCGGACTCACGGATAGTAACATCTTGAGCCTCCTCATTTATTCATGATGGTTCTTGTAAGAACTATGTCGTCAACATATACTATTAA